AGAGAGACCAGAGAGAGACCAGAGAGAGACCGGAGAGAAACCAGAGGGAGACCATAGAGAGACCAGAGGGAGACCAGAGAGAGACCAGAGAGAGACCAGAGAGAGACCGGAGAGAAACCAGAGGGAGACCAGAGAGAGGCCAGAGAGAGACCAGAGAGAGACCAGAGAGAGACCAGAGAGAGACCAGAGAGAGAGACCAGAGAGAAAGACCAGAGAGAGACCAGAGAGAGACCAGAGAGAGACCAGAGAGAGACCAGAGAGAGAGACCAGAGAGAGACCAGAAAGAAACCAGAGAGAGACCAGAGAGAGACTAGAGAGAGACCAGAGAGAGAGACAAGAGAGACACCAGAGAGACACCAGAGAGAGACCAGAGAGAGACCAGAGAGACTAGGGAGAGAGCAGAGAGAGACCACAGAGAGACCACAGAGAGACCAGTAAGAGAGAGAGACCAGAGAGAGACCAGAGAGAGAGACCAGAGAGAAAGACCAGAGAGAGATCAAAGAGAGACAAGAGAGAGACCAGAGAGAGACCAGAGAGACCAGAGAGAGACTAGAGAGAGACCAGAGAGAGACCAGAGAGAGACCAGAGAGAGACCCGAGAGAGACCAGAGAGAGAGACCAGAGAGAGACCAGAGAGAGACCAGAGGGAGACCAGAGAGAGACTAGAGAGAGACAAGAGAGAGACCAGAGAGAGACCAGAGAGAGACTAGAGAGAGAGAGACCAGAGAGACCAGAGAGAGACCCGAGAGAGACCAGAGAGAGAGACCAGAGAGAGACCAGAGAGAGACCAGAGAGAGACCAGAGAGAGACCAGAGAGAGACAAGAGAGAGACCAGAGAGAGACCAGAGAGAGACCAGAGAGAGAGACCAGAGAGAGACCAGAAAGAAACCAGAGAGAGACCAGAGAGAGACTAGAGAGAGACCAGAGAGAGAGACAAGAGAGACACCAGAGAGACACCAGAGAGAGACCAGAGAGAGACCAGAGAGAGACTAGAGGAGAGAGCAGAGAGAGACCACAGAGAGACCACAGAGAGACCAGTAAGAGAGAGAGACCAGAGAGAGACCAGAGAGAGAGACCAGAGAGAAAGACCAGAGAGAGATCAAAGAGAGACAAGAGAGAGACCAGAGAGAGAACAGAAAGAGACCACAGAGAGACCAGAGAGAGACCAGTAAGAGAGAGAGACCAGAGAGAGACCAGAGGGAGACCAGAGAGAGACCAGAGAGAGAGACGTGAGAGAGATAGACCAGAGAGAGACCAGAGAGAGACCAGAGAGAGAGACCAGAGAGAAAGACCAGAGAGAGATCAAAGAGAGACCAGAGAGAGACCAGAGAGAGAGACCAGAGAGAGACCAGAAAGAGACCAGAGAGAGACCAGAAAGAGACCAGAGAGAGACCAGAGAGAGACTAGAGAGAGACCAGAGAGAGAGACAAGAGAGACACCAGAGAGACACCAGAGAGAGACCAGAGAGACTAGAGAGAGAGCAGAGAGAGACCACAGAGAGACCAGAGAGAGACCAGTAAGAGAGAGAAACCAGAGAGAGACCAGAGAGAGACCAGAGGGAGACCAGAGAGAGACTAGAGAGAGACCAGAGAGAGACCAGAGAGAGACCAGTAAGAGAGAGAGACCAGAGAGAGACCAGAAAGAGACCACAGAGAGACCAGAGAGAGACCAGTAAGAGAGAGAGGGACCAGAGAGAGACCAGAGAGAGACCAGAGAGAGAGACGTGAGAGAGACCAGAGAGAGACCAGAGAGAGACCAGAGAGAGACCAGAGAGAGACCAGAGAGAGACGAGAGAGAGAGACCAGAGAGAGAACAGAGAGAGACCAGAGAGAGACCAGAGAGAGACCAGAGAGAGACCAGAGAGAGACCAGAGAGAGAGACCAGAGAGACACCAGAGAGAGACCAGAGAGAGACCAGAGAGAGAGACCAGAGAGAGAGACCAGAGAGAGATCAAAGAGAGACAAGAGAGGGACCAGAGAGAACAGAGAGAGGCCTATTCTCTATACTTTACCTCTCTTCTATCACTGTTGCACTGAGCCAAAGCAATTTTCAAGTCTGTGACTTCCTGTTACTTACGAGGCAATAAAAATGATTCTGATTCTGATTCTGATTCTGAATGCTTTCAGGTCAGAGTACGTAACACAACAATATGTAACATATTGGGGCTCGTCTCTTGGGTGTAACATATTGGGGCTCGTCTCTTGGGTCATATTGGGGCTCGTCTCTTGGGTGTTAACACATATTGGGGCTCGTCTCTTGGGTGTTATTGGGCTCGTCTCTTGGGTGAACATATTGGGGCTCGTCTCTTGGGTGTAACATATTGGGGCTCGTCTCTTGGGTGTAACATATTGGGCCGTCTCTTGGGGCTTGGGGCTCGTCTCTTGGTTGAACCTTGATAGTTTTTGTTCATCTCAGTGTGATACAGTTTTGTGTAAGGTTTAGTCTCTCCTTTTGTCGCTGAGTGTTTAGTGGGTCTAGGGATTATTCAATCTAAGCTTTTTGATTTTTAAGGGGATACTGGGTGGGCCGTTACCATAGTTACCGAGACAGGAGCGAGAGAGAAGAGAGAGACCAGAGAAAAATGACTGTACCGACTTCCGTAATGTTACTTCCTCCTTGGTCTTGTGTGTTTCAGAGCAACACGACAGAGACTTCTTCAGGAACAATAAGGATCAGTTTGTCTGTGTTAGTGACCAGAAAGTAAGTACCATGTGTCTGTGTTAGTGACCAGAAAGTAAGTACCATGTGTCTGTGTTAGTGACCAGAAAGTAAGTACCATGTGTCTGTGTTAGTGACCAGAAAGTAAGTACCATGTGTCTGTGTTAGTGACCAGAAAGTAAGTACCATGTGTCTGTGTTAGCGACCAGAAAGTAAGTACCATGTGTCTGTGTTAGTGACCAGAAAGTAAGTACCATGTGTCTGTGTTAGTGACCAGAAAGTAAGTACCATGTGTCTGTGTTAGTGACCAGAAAGTAAGTACCATGTGTCTGTGTTAGTGACCAGAAAGTAAGTACCATGTGTCTGTGTTAGTGACCAGAAAGTAAGTACCATGTGTCGGTGTTAGTGACCAGAAAGTAAGTACCATGTGTCTGTGTTAGTGACCAGAAAGTAAGTACCATATGTCTGTGTTAGTGACCAGAAAGTAAGTACCATGTGTCTGTGTTAGTGACCAGAAAGTAAGTACCATGTGTCTGTGTTAGTGACCAGAAAGTAAGTACCATGTGTCTGTGTTAGTGACCAGAAAGTAAGTACCATGTGTCTGTGTTAGTAACCAGAAAGTAAGTACCATGTATCTGTGTTAGTGACCAGAATGTAAGTACCATGTGTCTGTGTTAGTGACCAGAAAGTAAGTACCATGTGTCTGTGTTAGTGACCAGAAAGTAAGTACCATGTGTCTGTGTTAGTGACCAGAAAGTAAGTACCATGTGTCTGTGTTAGTGACCAGAAAGTAAGTACCATGTGTGTTAGTACCAGAAAGCAAGTACCATGTGTGACGTGTCTGTGTTAGTGACCAGAAAGTAATTACCATGTGTGACGTGTTGATGTGTCTGTGTGAGTGACCAGAAAGTAAGTACCATGTGTGACGTGTCTGTGTTAGTGACCAGAAAGTAAGTACCATGTGTGACGTGTTGATGTGTCAGTGTTAGTGACCAGAAAGTAAGTACCATGTGTGACGTGTTGATGTGTCTGTGTTAGGGACCAGAAAGTAAGTACCATGTGTGACGTGTTGATGTGTCTGTGTTAGTGACCAGAAAGTAAGTACCATGTGTGACGTGTTGATGTGTCAGTGTTAGTGACCAGAAAGTAAGTACCATGTGTGACGTGTTGATGTGTCAGTGTTAGTGACCAGAAAGTAAGTACCATGTGTGACGTGTTGATGTGTCTGTGTTAGGGACCAGAAAGTCCTGTGGGGTCCTCCACAGGTGTCAGTGTCTGTTCTTAAAGTAGTACTAGAATTTAATATGCTGCTATCCAGAATATTTAACTACAATATGTGTTTGTAATTAGATTTATTTACCACAATGTACTTTGTAATATTCATAAATGCTAACACCTATTTACGGTTTAATTAGCATTTTTATCAATGATTGCATCACATGTAGTCTATGTTTTCAACTTCTGCAGCTTTTTGTTCATAGAAGTAAAATATTTATTTAATTCAAGTAATTCTGATCATCATTTTTGAATATTACAATATACATTGTGGTAAATAATGATGTCGTTAGCATGTTTTATGATATCAAGTAGAGTTAGCTAACTTGCCCAACACTAATTAGCTTGAATCTCACAAATAAGGCTAAAAGGTTAAAAGAGTTGCACACTATTATGTACAAACGGATGAAAATATGTTTATACCTTGTTCAGATGACAGTGAAACCTCCTACAGATTCAGCCCAGACTGCTGCTGCTGTGAGAGGTCCTCCTTCTTCTACAATCTTCCTGAAGATGTGAGGCTAGCATCTACTCTGGCAATTTTTAAATCAGGGCTAAAAACTGTTCTTTTTAGCTGTGCATACGGCTGAAGGATTTTATTGATACATACTCTTTTTTTAATGCATTGTGGTTATTTATTATTTTAATCCCGTGTGTGCTTTTAATATTTAAAGTTTTTTTTTTTTCATTACTTGTGATTTTATTCTGTTTTTAATGTATTTATTGATGTCTCTGATTTGTGTGATATTATGTGGGTTGTGAGGCGCTTTGAGTGGCCTTGTGTTGGAAAGGCGCCATACAAATAAAGTTGATTGATTGATTGATTCTCCTACGTCATCGCCGCCATTTTGGCGCCCCCTAGCGTTTCTATGCGGAAGTGAAAAAGTGCGACTTCAAAGGAGTTTTTTTTTACTTAATTAATCTGAACATGTCAAAATGAACACCAGAAATATATATTGTAGTTATATATTCTGGATAGCAGCATATTAAATTCTAGTACTACTTTAAGCTGTGTTCAGACCGGATCATGCTGTGGCGAGTTTCAAAGCAAAGTCAATAGAGACATAGGTACAGGGTAGGAGGTGGGTACAGAGGAGGTGGGTACAGGGAGGTGGGTACAGAGGAGGTGGGCACAGTGGAGGTGGGTACAGAGGAGGTGGGTACAGATGAGGTGGGCACAGTGGAGGTGGGTACAGAGGAGGTGGGTACAGAGGAGGTGGGTACAGATGTGGTGGGTACAGAGGAGGTGGGTGCAGAGGAGGTGGGTACAAAGAGGAGAGGAGGTGGGTGCAGAGGAGGTGGGTACAGAGGAGGTGGGTACAGAGGAGGTGGGTGCAGAGGAGGTGGGTAAAGGAGGTGGGTACAGAGGAGGTGGGTACAGAGGAGGTGGGTGCAGAGGAGGTGGGTACAGAGGAGGTGGGTAGAGGAGGTGGGTACAGAGGAGGTGGGTGCAGAGGTGGTGGGTGCAGAGGAGGTGGGCACAGAGGAGGTGGGTACAGAGGAGGTGGGTACAGAGGAGGTGGGTACAGAGGAGGTGGGTACAGAGGAGGTGGGTACAGAGGAGGTGGGTACAGAGGAGGTGGGTACAGAGGATGCATGTGTGTGTGATGGGATTATGAACATGTCTTCACCTTGGGTTGACCTTCCACTGTGGCTGATACTAAGGTGTCGCTGATGCAGAAAGCTGCAGACCATCATAGAGAGACCAGAGAGAGACCAGAGAGAGACCAGAGAGAGACCAGAGGGAGACCAGAGAGAGACCAGAGAGACCAGAGAGAGACCAGAGAGAGACCAGAGAGAGACCAGAGAGAGACCAGAGAGAGACCAGAGAGAGACCAGAGAGAGACCAGAGAGAGACCAGAGAGAGGCCAGAGAGAGACCAGAGAGAGACCAGGGAGAGACCAGAGAGACCAGAGAGAGACCAGAGAGAGACCAGAGAGAGACCAGGGAGAGACCAGAGAGAGACCAGAGAGAGACCAGAGAGAGACCAGAGAGAGACCAGAGAGAGACCAGAGAGGAGAGACCAAAGAGAGACCCAGAGAGAGACCAAGAGACCAGAGAGACCAGAGAGAGACCCAGAGAGAGGACCAGAGAGAGACCAGAGAGAGACCAGAGAGAGACCAGAGAGACCCAGACCAGAGAGACCAGAGAGAGACCAGAGAGAGACCAGGAGAGACCAGAGAGGGAGACCAGAGAGACCAGAGAGAGACAAGAGAGAGACCAGAGAGACCCAGAGAGGAGACCAGAGAGACCAGAGAGAGACCAGAGAGAGACCAGAGAGGGACCAGAGAGACCAGAGAGAGACAAGAGAGAGACCAGAGAGACACCAGAGAGAGACCAGAGAGACCAGAGAGAGACCAGAGAGAGAGACCAGATAGAGAGACCAGAGAGAGACCAGAGAGAGACCAGAGAGAGACCAGAGAGAGAGACCAGAGAGAGACCAGAGAGAGACCAGAGAGAGACCAGAGAGACCAGAGAGAGACCAGAGAGAGACCAGAGAGAGACCAGAGAGAGACCAGAGAGAGACCAGAGAGAGACCAGAGGGAGACCAGAGAGAGACCAGGGAGACCAGAGAGAGACCAGAGGGAGACCAGAGGAGACCAGAGAGAGACCAGAGAGAGACCAGAGAGAGACCAGAGGGAGACCAGAGAGAGACCAGAGAGACCAGAGAGAGACCAGAGAGAGACCAGAGAGAGACCAGAGAGAGACCAGAGAGAGACCAGAGAGAGGAGACCAGAGAGAGACCAGAGAGAGACCAGAGAGAGAGACCAGAGAGATACAAACTAAAAAGACATGGAATTTCGTAATTAAGAATAAAAAAATATAAAACTGTATGTGTGATTTTGTTTTTGTGAATGCGATTTTTTTTTTGTGCTTGCATTTTCTTTGAAAATACGAATTTCAGCAGTGAGCAAACTGTCAATAGAGAGAGACCAGAGAGTGGAGTCTCTGCTCACAGACATTAACAATCGAGCCTGCGCAGAGTTGATCACGACAGAGGGCAATAACATTAACAATTTGGCTCAAAATCAGGTATATAACTATATTTTATCATTTTGGTCGTAAATAAATGTGTAAGAAATATTGATTCCATAAAATGTGTTCATAAGATGTTTCTTGTCCTTCTCTAGAAACGTTTTTTTAGACAGTGTTTAGTTAACACTAGCTTCAATGCTAGTTTTACAGCTTATTATTTTATTTTAAAACCAACATGTTTACATTCTTAGCATTTACATTTGATGAAGCCTTTGCCCCGTGGTTAATGAGTTGATACCAGCCCCAACCTTCCAGATTATTCATAGTTCGCGCTGTTACTGCCCCTGAGCAGTATGAAGTTCACCTCCGTGCTATACTCATCCTCGGTTGTTAGACGTAGCAGACCCTAATGCATTATTTTCTGTAGAATAAAACAATATAAGGATAAGAAAATAAAACTAGCATTTGAGCTAACAACACTGCCAAAAAACCTTTAGATGGACAAGAAACATCTTATGAACACATTTATGGAATTTATATTTCTTACACATTCATTTACAACCAAAATGATAAAATATAATTATATACCTGATTTTGAGCCACGTTATTTATGTTGTGTCCCTCTGCCATGTTTAGTTTTTAGGCAATGAAGTTGATCAACTCTGCGCAGGCTCGATTGTTAATGTCTGTGAACAGTGACGTCATATTGACAGTTTTATATATATATTTTTTTTCATTTATTTTATGAAAGTACAATACAAACAAGGCAAAGTGCTGTTCGCAATAATAACATATGAGGGAACATTGGCAGTCCAGTGCAAATAGTGAGTGCAAAAGAACAAAAAAACAAAATATAAAACATAAAATAAAAAAACAGTAAAAAGTGCAAGGGGGTCATGGATGCAGATCAAAGGCAGTTCATAAAGTTTGTAGTTAGGTAGAGTCTATGGGGATTTCACTTAAATAGGAATACAATTTTGTGGCATTTGGTCCTTTCATTCGCTCCAAGGAATTAAGGTACATTTTAAAGTCATTTAAAAAAAAAAAGAAAATGTGGGGGGACATTTCTGACATTTGCTTTTGTGTATACAGAATTTTGCAAGACACAAAGTCACATTAATACAGAGTTCCATTTTTTTGTTATTTGTTAGTACCATGCCAAACGTTACATGGTCTCTTGAAATGACTGGAAATGACTGTACCCAACTTTGTAAATCTCTCCAAAATAATTCAACAGAGTCACAATAAAAAAACAGATGGTCAGTTGTCTCCACATGAATATTGCAGAATGTACAGTACATAGATTTTCTTGTATGTTAAACCGTACTCGAAGTAGTTCTTTAGAGGGGTAAAAATTGTTCATAATTTTGAAGTGTGTTTCTTTGGCCTTTGGGGCTATAGGGAAGGAAAAATACATAGTTCTAAGTTTAGTGACTGTCTTTTTATCAAATTTACATTTCTTATCTAAAAATTATATCCCGCGTATCCTTGGAGAGGGTAAATGTGTTTACGTTGTCTGATGAGCTAATGAGTTTTTGGATAGAAAAATAAATTCTTTAGGGAGGGCGTTACGTAAACGCATGAAGTCTAATAGTGAGGCGTTAAAATTGTGTTTAATGCAGAATTGATCATAATCTAATACATTTACTCGTTGTCCATAAGGTGCGACACTGACCAAATATTTTTTTTAAACCAGTCTTCATAAAATAATGATTTGTTGCGGTGTAGAACATATCTGTTGTTCCAAATCACTGTTCGATGTGGAGAAACGTTATGGACTTAAAGCATTTTCCAGTAAAGTAAAATTTGATTGTGGAACTCTGATAAAGATATAGGAAGCTTGTTGATATGGAAGTCACATACAAGCAGTAGGTTTAGACCACCAAATTTAAAAAAAAATAAAGTTAGGTATACAGTACCAAAGAGATTGATGATTTTTAATCCAAGATTTTAACCAGTTTATCTTTAAGGTTCCGGTCAGACACTCCAGATCAATCGCCTTTAGGCCTCCTTCATTGGTTTGTTTGACCATATGACTTTTCTTTATATAATGTGGTTTATTTCGCCATATAAAATTTAAATTAATTTGATTTATGACTTTGGAAAAATTGGTAGGGACAGCATTTGAATAAAGAGGGTAAATACATCTAGATAAGCACTCCATTTTTGTTAAATATATACGACCCAAAATCGAAAAGTCTCTTTGGAGCCATATATTCAATTTTGTTTTACATTCTTTAAGTTTGTTCTCTATATTAACTGTTTGACATATCTTTTTGTCTTTACAGAGGATGACACCTAGATATTTAATCTCAGACTTTATAGATATATTGTGTATTTCTGTTAAAGCAGTATCATGAAGAGACAATATTTCACATTTTTTAAGGTTTAAGCAAAGCCCTGATGCTTTGGAGAATTGCTCAATTTTCTGTATAACTTTAGGGATTTGATCTTCATCTTTTAAGAATAATGTTGTATCATCAGCTAGTTGGCTGATAATAATTTCTGTACCTAGAACATTAAGTTTCTGTTTTTTATATATATGGACAGAAGTTCAGTGACTAAAATAAATAAGTAGGGCAATATGGGGCACCCTTGCGGAATACCTATATCCACATTAAAGCTCGGAGTAGAACCCTTAGAGAAGAGAACACAGCTATTTGTGTTTTCAAACCCAAAATGTTCAAACCCAAAATGTTCAAGTGTGGCAAAAATAATTGAATGTTCAACAGAATCAAAGGCTTTAAAAAAGTCCAAAAATAAAATAAAGCCATTATCCTGAATTAAATTTCTATATTCAATTAAGTACATTACTAGACGGATATTATTATGTATGGATCGACCCTTTAAAAAACCTGACTGTGTTTCCGAGATTATATTCTAAGTCCTGATTGTAGTCGAGAGGCAAAGATGTAAGTTAAGAGTTTGTAGTCAGAGTTTCTCAGTGTTATAGGTCTTCTATTATCTATGATTCTAGGGTCTTTATTGGGTTTGGGGATAGATATTATGACACCATGTCTCATTGTATTTGGGAGTGTGCAAGTTTCAAAAATCTCAACAAAAACATTGAACGGTAATTCCTTAATATCAAACCAAAAATGTTTATAAAAGTTTCCTGTGAGACCGTCTGATCCTGGAGCTTTGTTAGGAGAGAGTCGGCCTGTCGCTGCTTCTAGTTCAGAAACTGTTAGTGGACAGTCACAGGTGTCTTTATACGCTTCATCAACTTTTGGAATATACTGGGCTATATCATTCATGAAAGATTCACAGTTAGTTTTAGAAAATTTTGACTTGTAAAGCTGTGTATAAAATGTATACATTTCTAAAGAGATGAGTTTATCATCTGTAATTTCTATATTATTCATTAATAATGACTTTATGTTGTTTCTTTCTTGTCTATTTTTTTCTAGACCACAAAAATATGCTGAATTCTTCTCACCTTCTTCTATCCACTTTGCTCGAGACCTAATAAATGCTCCTTGAGCTTTATGAGTGTAGATTTCATCTAGATTTGATTGTAACTTCAGAATTGTTTGTTTGTCAAGTTCACTAAGATTTTGTTTGTTACAATGAACATTTAACTGGTTTATAATATTCAATTCCTTTTGATCAAGTTCTTTTTTATAGTTTTTACTAAAGGTATTAGATACATCACAAATTTTAAACTTAAGAAACTCCCACTTTTTAACCGGGGTTGTAAGTTCTTCACCGGATGTAATTTTATTTAGTTGATTTAATGATTTGACAATAGTTGTCATTTTTAAGAAGACTTGAGTTAAATTTCCAGTATTTGTTAGAGAAATATTTAGTTCTAGGTCCAACATGTAACATAATGACACAATGATCAGTTAAAGGGGCTGCAGACATTGTTGAATTGATATCATTACAAAGCAACTTGTTTGAAATTAACCAATTATCAATTCTAGATCTTGAATTATAGTTTGGACTGAACCATGAAAATTGGGATATTCCAGGATTGAGATATCTCCAAGCATCAGTAAGACTTAATTCACTGCAAAAGTTATTAAATATAATATTAGGCTGAGTTGATGCATGTTTGGATGGGTATTTATCGAGGAAATCATCATTAACTACATTGAGATCACCCCCAATTATTATATTCTCTATGGAGTGAGCAACTTTAAGTTCATCTATGTGTAAAGTTATCTCTTCTAACAATCGTTTATTGTCCCTGGGATTATTGTAACCATACACATTAACTAAAATGAATTTCACATTGTCAATATTTGTGAGTAAAATCAACCAATGGCCCTGATTATCTGCCATGTTAAGTATAATTTGGCCAGAAAAGTGTTTAAGGAGGATAGCTACTCCAGCTGATCTAGATGTACCATGACTGAAATAGGCTTTGTCCCCCCATTGTTGAGTCCAAAACGAAATGTCCTCTTCTTTTGAGTGAGTTTCTTGTAAAAAAAACAATTGCACTTTTTTCCCTTTGCAAAATAAAAACAGACTTTTACGTGTTGTTAAATCTCTCAGACCCCTTGCATTCACAGATAATAGAGAGATTGAACTTTTTAGATCAGACATAAAAAAATAAAAAACCAAAAAACTAGCTTATTTGCTTTAACAAACACAGGTGCGTAACCAACCGTAACAAAAGGTGCAAAACCCTGACAGTAAACTTATCTTGAATAAAAGGTTCTTCTAGGACCCTGAGAATCATGGTGTTACCCTTTGAATATAGGCGTAGCGACCTCAGTACACAGCCTTTTGACCCGGCTTTCTTGCTTGATCCACTTTTGGCCAGACTGCTGCTCTTGCTTCTAGGACATCTTTGGTGAAGTCTTCTGCGAAGCGAATGTTGAGCTCTTTGCAGATTTGGTGGTTCCTTGATACATGCCAAAGTTCATCTTTGTAGATCCTCATGGTGAACTGCATGATGATTTGTCGTGGGTGGGTGGTGTTATTCTACTCAACACGATGCACAGAATCAAGGATGAAGCCCATCTTGTCTTTCCAGTGCGGAACAATTCTGAGATTAAGGATTACAACAAGCTCCCTAGTATTCTCCTCTTTTTCTTCTTTGAGGCCCCTCAGTCTCAGATTCCATCTTTTTTTGTAATTTTCTGAATCAGAAAGTCTTCTTTCCAGCTCAATTACCTTTTCCTCCAGTTGGATATTCCTCTCTTTGAGGGCTTTTGCTTCCTTTTGTATATCTTTTGTTGAATTCCAGACACTTGTTTATGTTGGATATAGCCAAGTGTTGAGTTGTATGTCTGACTTGATGTCGATCACCAGAGAATGAAGAGCCTGAATCTCTCCGGATTGTGATTGTATTGCATTCAAAACGTCAGCAATGGAAGCAGAACCCATACTGGAATCAAGAGGAGCGACATCGTTGGGTTTTATTTTCTTTAGAGGTTGTTGAGTAGTTTTAGATGGCGAGGTAAGGGCATTTTTATTCCGTTTTACTTCAGTTTCCATTGCCTCGAGCGCGCAGTAGTCATGGGGGATGTCTTAGCATTAGGCCCCGACTCCACCGGGCGCGTAAAACGGACGACGGATCCGTCCAAACATGTCCGTTTCATCTCCGTCTCCGTTATCTCCATGAGGGTGAATGGAAGTGGCTCCACAGCCTCTGCATGCGTCCGTCTGACGCATGTCGGACGGATTCCGTCAACGGAGGGTGCAACGGACGCGGACGGACGAAATAAAAACAATCCTATTTGTTCCGTCCGTCGACACGTGTCGGGTCCGTTTTCCATTGAAAATACAATGGAATATTATATTTACCACATTATTAAACATGTATTGACATATGCTGTAGTCCTTGGTTATAAGTATTTGGTAATGACACTAATTATTAACAAACGTGTGTAATGTAATTTGTATTTTAATAATTGTTTCCTGATCGTACATCTACCATTTTTCGCGTAATGTTAATACGCTAATCTTTACATACACCTCGCTCTTTTTTCTCTCGCTCTGTCCCGTCTACCTGCGAGGCGCTCTCTCCTCACCGCACACACACGAGAGACAGATCTCACAACAACACTGGATATGTTAGAGTTCTTTTCTCTCTCCCCTTTTTCCAATTGCTTTCAATAAGTTTTGCCTCATCCATCGCGACGTCCTCAATGCTTCAATATGCTGTGCTTTGCATAGATCATAGCCACAGCTCATACAAATCACACACTGCTTCTTCTATTTAAAACTATAGCGGCTGTCTGTTGCCTAAAGCCGCGGAGAGGCGAGTTGGGTCCGATAAAAGTGTATCACGCGCTAAATAAGTAGAAAACAAACGAAGAGGCTGGATCATAATAAACGCTGCGGTCACAGGCCCAAACACACATGCACGCACATGCCTCCCACCACACACACACAGACACACACACACACAAGCGCTCTCACGCACGCGCCCACGCTCACGCACACATGCACGCCGACAACACATGACTCCTCCATCAGCCAAACGTTAATTTATTCACACAATGCCCAAACGTGTCCTACAAAAACAAAGCAGGCTGATAAACGCACAGCCAGAGCTGCTGATGCAGCCGGTTTGACCACTAGTCCGTTTTACGGACGTCCGACGGACAGCAGCCAACGCGCGTCAACGGAGACGCGCCCGGTGGAGTCCAGGCCTTAGCACCACTTTTAGCCATGAGTCAAAGTTTGTACAACTGTTAATGGATATACTTGCTTGCAGGCAGGACAATGTGTAGCGTGTCACCAAAGGTTGTGAAAGAGTCTGTTGTGATGATAGTTGTTGGTCCTGTTCGTTTTAATTCAGGGTTTTCACCGGAGAACAGTTAGCGCGCGTCAGCTCGCTCCGCCATCTTGCCCGGACTCCATGTTGACAGTTTGCTCACTGGTGAAATTCGTATTCTCAAAGAAGAAAATGCAAGCATTAAAAAAAAAATCGCATTCACAAAAACAAAATCACACATACAGTTTTATATTTTTTTATTCTTAATTACAAAATTCCATGTCTTTTTAGTTTGTATTATCTTAATCATGAATTAATAAAATATTTTTATGCACAAATACCAATAAATATGCACGCATTTTTTTTTAGACATGCACGTCTTTAGTGACAGTAACCTTACCCCATACCTGGCTCTCTGCCATCCTGTTTCTTCCCTCCACGCATTCTCATTAGCATTCTGTCTTGCACTTGTCCTATTTGTTTTTGTTATGGCTGCGGGAAAATGCGGTGATATATAAACATCAGAAATGTCTTTGAGAAAATAGCTTTGGAGGACGCTACCGCGCTACTTGAGCAATAATATAGCTTAGCTACTTGGTTTTGTAAATAGTACCGTCAAGCTACTGAAAAAATGTAGTTAAGCTAAAGTAGCGACGCTACTGCCCTTCACTGTGTCGCACCCTTGCACACGCTGTTTGTTTACAATAGCGGCCACCACATACGGGGCGCGTTACAGGCTTTGGCACAAATCTGCGTGGACAATTTGAAGAATTTTAAGAATGTTTTTCCTCCAACAGAAACCACATTAAAACTAGACATAAAATATACCCCTCCCCGGGACTTCCGGGAGCCACGTGACCAAGATGGCAGCTTAGCCTAGAGGCTCCGATACCATGCTTACATTTTTATGATTAAAAAAACCCTTCAACTTGCCAAAACTTAAAGAACAAACCGTGCGAAGGTAATGTCAAAAGCAACAGCCACAAAAACGTGCGAACTCTTCACCCGTGGACGCAAAGCGAACAAGAAAACGACTAACCTCCAGGATACCACGGAGACTGAAGCTAAGGCTACTGAGGCTACTGAGGATAACACTGATGCTAGCATGGCTAACATCGGAGAGGTGCTATCCGAGATCAAATCTATGCGTTCCGACTTCAGGGGAAGGCTCGACTGTATAGATCAAAGTCTGGGCAACATGTCTTCCACCCTCACGGCATTGGAGAATGGACTAACACAGACAAAGCAGGATGTTACGGCAAATACGACTCGCATTGCCGAAGCTGAGGCCCGCATAGCCGCAGCCGAAGCTAAACAAGACGAGGCCGACACAACTCTGCAACTAGCGGGTAAACGCATTGCTTTTCTTGAGACCAAAATAGAAGACCTGGAAAATCGTGGGAGGCGTAAAAACCTCCGTGTGTTTGGAATCTGCGAAGGGATAGAAGGGGGAAGGCCATTAATCGATTACATGACGGACATGCTACCGAAATGGCTAGGCCTCACTTCACGTACATTTGTTTTGGAGCGAGTCCACCGCACACTAGCAACGGCAAGACCGGGCCAGAACAGAGCCGTACTGATCCGGTTTTTAAGCTTCCAGGACAAAGAATATGTATACAGAGAAGCAAGAAAGCAACAGCTAACCCACGAGGGGCAGAAGATCACGTTTGCACAGGATTTTTCAGCTGAAACAGCCCGGATCAGAAAGAGTTTCCACCCGCTCATCAAAGACTTCATTGACATTAACGCATTCCGTGGGTTTCAATACAACCCATGCAGGCTCAGAATCCTCCACGGCGGAAAGATCCACCTCTTCTCTGGCCCAAAAGAAGCAGAGGATTTCTACATACAAGTCAACAAGTGAACTTTCCAGTGAACTGATACGAGTGGTGTCAGTTGATTTGGGACTGACTGAGCGAGTTTGCACTTCCAAATCAGGTGAAATCTGAGAATAATAAATAGCAGCTTTTCCTTTTTCGGTTTTATTACAAACATGGCCTCTGTTCTACTTGAGGTATTTCTGTTTAATCAAAGTTATGTCTAGTCGTTTACGTTCAATATTGACATAGTTAGGTTTTCTAACATTACTATTATTATAACTATGATACAATAATACAAAGTATACTCATAAGGGTTAAAATAACAAAACTAGCATGGTGTTGGGATGCTGGAGTTAGAGAAGAGAGAGAAGGGTTACGTTGGTTAGCTTCTCCTCAACAGTGTGGATCAGCATCCTGGGGAACCCCATTGTTCAAAGGGGGTGGTCAAGTACTCCACTGGATGGAGTACTGGGGAGGGGAATGGGGATGTTTAAAATAAGTTCTGTGTTCAATAGATGTGTGTGTATGTGTGTGAATGTGTGTGAATGTGTAGAATTGCACTTTAGCAAACAAGGTATCAAAACATGGTTTGACTCCAATACTAGTCACCACAATTCACTGAATGGAAAATAAAAAACAAAACTTTGAAGTTTTTATCACAAGCTGGAATGTCAGGGGTCTACGAAAGCTAACTAAAGTGAAGAAAGTATTGAACAGGATATCATTTTTAAAATCTAATATAATTTTCATACAAGAATCACACCTGACTAATGCAGATATCCAAATACTAAATAAAAGATGGCCAGGCCAAGTGTTTCATGCTTGTTTTACCAGTCATGCCAGGGGAGTTGTGACTTTGATACACAAATCAATACCATTCCAACAATCCAAAGTTATTGCTGACCCAGGAGGGAGATATATTATAGTACAAGGTACTATTCTCTCACAAAAGATAAACCTCATAAATGTGTATGGTCCCAATGATGACTCCCCATCGTTTTTCGAAAACTTCGAAAACTCTTTTTAACCATTTCAATGCTGGATGGAGTGTATATAATCGCAGGGGACTTTAACATTACCCCTATTCCCTCTCTCGATCGATCATCTAAAAATGACAGTGCACACTGTAAATCTAGAAAAGTACTTCATAAATATATAAAAGATCTAAGATTGCAAGATATATGGAGATTTAAAAACCCAAATGTTACACAATATTCGTACTTATCAAACAGCACCAAAAGTCACTCACGCATTGACTATTTTCTAACATCCATAGATTTAGATGTGAAAGACTGTTGGTATAACAGTATTGTCTTAAGCGATCACGCACCCGTTTCCATCATATTACAACTAGGAAAAATTGAACGTAGCCCTAAAAGATGGAGACTACAATCCTTTTTACTGCAAGATGAAAAGTTTGTTAAATTTATAGAAAAATGCATTGACAGCTATTTTGAGAATAATAAAAATGAAACATCTGCTAGTATTCGATGGGAAGCTTTCAAAGCTTATATTAGGGGTGAAATTATAAGCTTCACAGGGACATTAAATAAAAAATATAAAACAGAGATTCAATCAATGGAGCAACAAATTAAAATTCTAGAAAAGGAATTCTATTGCACTAACGATCCAGGTAAATTAAAAAATATACAAATTTTGAGAGCAAAATATGACAAATTAACAACCGAAAAAGTGGCAAAAAGTTTAATGTGGACAAAACAAGCCTATTACGACCAGGGAGAAAAGCCAAGTAAATTATTGGCCTGGAAGCTTAAAAAAATGCAAGCAGATAGATCCATTCTCAGCATTAAATCTGACCTGGACAATCTGACTTCAGACCCACTAGAAATAAACAAAAGTTTTAGAACATTTTACGAAAAATTATATAAATCAGAATGTATTACAAATGAAACTATTCAAAACGACTTCCTCGATAAGCTACAACTTCCGAAACTATCATCAGAGGACCAAGATGTGAGTGATAGACCATTAACAACTACTGATATAATAGAAGCAATTGGAAACTTGGCCAGCAACAAGACACCAGGACCAGATGGGATACCAGTGGAGTTTTATAAGAAATTCAAAAACAAACTTGCCCAACCACTTTTAGACATGTTTAAAGAATCATATGAAACTGGCATTCTCCCTGACTCCTTGAGACTTGCAACTATCACTTTGATTTTAAAACCTAATAAGCCACAGGTAGAGTGCTCATCATATAGGGGAATAAGTCTCATGGGATGCGATATTAAAATATTATGCAAAATTCTCTCCAAAAGACTGGAAAAATATGTTCCCAAACTAATATTGGATGACCAGCAGGGTTTTGTTCAACAAAGGCAAGGCTATCATAATATTAGACGTGTATTAAATATATTATATGAAAAACAAAATGCTAGTGATACAGCAATGTTGGCTGTTGATGCATGTCAAGCATTTGATAGAATTGAATGGAACTATCTTTTGAAACTGCTTCCAAGATATGGACTGGGGGAAAAGATAATCAAATGGGTGGAATTATTATATACAAACCCTACAGCACAAGTTTTAACAAATAATAATCTCTCTAAACCCTTCAATTTGCAACGTTCTACAAGACAAGGGTGCCCTCTATCCCCTACTCTGTTCACATTAGCTATGGAACCCTTGGCTATAGCAGTGAGAACACAGGCTGGACTTTCAGGAGTTAACATTGGTGGCAGAGATCATTTGATATCACTATTTGCAGATGACATAATATTTTTTCTAACTGACTTAAAGTACACAGTTCCTAAGTTAACAGACTTACTTGAAGAATTCGGCGAGTTTTCTGGATATAAAATAAATAATAGTAAATCAGTTCTCCTCTTTCTTAACGATGATGATAGGAAATCTCCACCAATAAAAACAAACTTCGAAATAGCCACAGATGGCTTTAAATATTTAGGCGTAAAAATTACCCCTGACATTAATAAAATATCCCCTGCAAATTACAACCCCTTGGTAGAGGAGGTCACAGAAACACTTGGTCGATGGTCGAACTTACCCATTTCCATGCTGGGACGTATAAATGCAATAAAGATGTCAATCCTACCAAAATTTCTATACTATTTCCAAACACTTCCTTTGCCTTTACCTCAATCATTTTTTGACAATTTGAATAAAATCTTTAGTGAATTTATATGGAACAACAGGAAAGCTAGACTTCGTTTCAAGTTACTATACCTTCCTTATGACAGAGGGGGCCTTCAGTTCCCAAATCTTAGATGGTACTATATGGCGGCACAGTTAACTTCAGCCTCTCACTATTTTGGTACAGGCGTTACTCCAGCGTGGATGTCCATTGAAGAACAATCATCCTCAAATTTGTCATTAAAGAGCTATCTATACTCAAATGATTTAAAAAACTTGAAAAAACAATATCCCTTTCTGATACTATAATTATGTGGCACAATGCCCATACGGTTGTAAATAATCCCATAACTTTGTCTCGTTTCACACCTCTATGGCGTAATGAACAGTTTATACCTGGCAGAAGGGATGGAGGATTCAAATTATGGAAAACTAAGGGTATTCAGACAATTAACGACTTATATGTAAACGGAAAATTGCTTACTTTTAATGAGCTGTGTGAAAAATATCAAATCCCTAAAAAACATTTTTATAAATACCTTCAATTAAAACATTTCATGTCAACAAAATACAGAGAAATTATGAATATTCCCAATTTATCAACAATTGAAGAAATCGCTATAAAACATCAGAAAAAGAAAGGTTTACTGTCTAAATTCTACACACTGCTCATAGAACACTCTAAAGATTCAACATTGGACAAATTGAATGCCTGGAGGAGCGACCTGCATGAGGATATTTGTGAGGCAGACTGGAACGAAACATGCTTAAGAGCACAAAAACAAACAATAAATACAAGACTCAGATTACTTCAATACAAATGGCTAACAAGGGTTTACATAACTCCTGAAATACTGCATCGTTATTCCAATAACATCCCTGACACCTGTACTAAATGTGGTAGCTATAAGGGAACTCTTGTGCACTGTCTCTGGGAATGTGCAGCAATTCAAAAATTTTGGAAAGAAATTATTCAATGCATGATGGAAATATTCAAATTAAAGATTCCATTGTGTCCTAAATTATGTATTCTAGGAATATATCCTGAAGGTATAATACAAAAAAAGGAAAAAATTAGATTATTGGATTTTGGTTTTCTACATGCCAGAAGAGTCATTGCTCTCATCTGGAAAAATGTTGATGCTCCTTCCCGAGGACAGTGGATTAAGGAACTTTCTGAATGTGTAGGCCTTGAAAGATTGACATATATTGTGAAGGGAAAACAAAAAGACTTTGTCAAATTGTGGGAGCCTTATCTGATGATCATATCTAAAAAATAAGCTTTTCTTTTTTATGTTTTAGTTTCTCTATATCCTGTGCACTACCTGTATTATTTTAATTTAACATTGTAAATATGTACATACAGGTTTCCATACAACAAGCAAATATGTATAGTACATGTATGAAGAATACACATATGTGTGTGTATGTGTGTATGTATGTATGTATATGTGTATGTATGTATGTATATATATGTGTATGTATATATATATATATATATATATGTATATATATATATATATATATTTTTTTTTTTTCTTCTACTGGTTTTATACTGAATATAGAGGTACGACCTGAAACTACGTACTGCAGGTATGTGTGTGTGTGTGTGTGTGTGTGGTTGTGTGTAACGTATGTGAATATTTCACTATTCTATTCAATGTTGATCTATGTAAATGTAGACAACTATTTGAGTGTTTTTTCTATTTGACTAAAAATCAATAAAAATATTTTGGAAAAAGAAAAAAAAAAATGCGCACGTCGAGTGCACATTATGTTTCAGAACAAAACAAAAAAGTAACGCAATAGTTACTTTTACTGGTAACTAGTTACTTTTATAGTGGAGTAACTCCGTTAGTAACTCAGTTACTTTTTGGGAGAAGTAACTAGTAACTATAACTAATTACTTTTTCAAAGTAACGTGCCCAAC